TCCTTTTGACGAATTGACCGTGGCGCCGTCAGATCTGTTGTTCGTCCTGCTCCACTCCTTTTCCAGTGGCCCATCCGACTCAAACTTCCTGTCTGGATCTGCCTCATGGGCCCCTAGATCTGTTTCTTATCTTTCTGGTCGTCCGATTTCATTCGGTTCCAGCTCCATAGTACATTTAATCCAGGCGCCATTTCTCAAGCCTTCGGTAGCATGTACAATGCCGCCTCATCTGCATGCTCACTGATAGTAGGCATTGCCTATAAGCATTATCTTCTTGAGCAAACTGTGGAAATCTAACTTTGGCCGCCAACTGTATCTCGACTGGATTATTAATAAATTTGGTCATAATGCCCAATTTCTGTGATCCAATCTCTCTTTTTAGTGACGTGAAGCGTCAAGCCCCCAAGGTTGCAGTTGTCTATTTGAGTAATCGTTTCGACAAAAAGCTGATCAAGTGATTGACTTCACCTGTCTCTTCGACGAGTTGTAGCTTGGTGCTGAGGATCGCAAGACTCACTGACGAAGCCGGCGAAACATTTTGGTATGTACCAAGTCCACAGTTAGACTCTAGAAATGATCATGCATACTATGAACTTTGGAATAGGTGTGTTTCTCTAGGTCTTCTTGCCAATATGATTAAGCTGCGAAAGCGAGGTTAAATGTCTACTTTACATCGAAACTAGTGTGACCAAAATAGAGGCCACAACATCTTGGTCTGCTTATCTAATGCTGCCGGTTTACAGGCAGCCAACAAACTGGCTCGTACGACAATGATGAGATTCGAGGCAAAACGGGCATTGCTCTGCTTACTTTTGATAACGAGATAATCGATTAAGAAGTCGTAAACAAAGATACTACTTATTTTATGTATAAGTAGTAGTTGAGCTTATGGGTAATTATTTTTGCTGAAAACTCAGATCGCATGAGGTGAGAGGCCTAACGATGCCAGCTTACAGGCAGCCAACAAACTGGTTTGTACGACAATGATGAGATTCAAGGCAAAACAGGCATTGCTCTGCTTACATTTGAAAACGAGATAATCGATTAATAAGTCGTAAACGAAGATACTACTTTTTTCTGTATAAGTAGTAGTTGAGATTATGGGTAATTATTTTTTGCTGAAAACTCAGATCACTTGAGGTGACGATTTACAGACAGACCACACAAACTGTAGAAGAATTGCGATTTTCCCTGAGGCCTGAAAGATGCGATAACTGAGAAGGAGAACGTCCTTTGCACTGCTAGCACCGGTATCTTTTGGGACTCACCGTGACCACGTGAAGGCATTCAATCAAGTGTCGTTGCTGGACAGAAATCACGTCCTCCAGCCGCATTCCACGGCCTTTTCGATGTGTGGTTCGCCGATATCGTCGGCCGTTCCTGACGCATGACAATTCTGCATGTCTGAAGATGCGTTTCGAGGCGTGCCGACTCTCCTGCTGGCAACCTCGTAGACTTTGACGAGCGACAATTGCCATCGCCGTCTGCGGTGACGGCGACGGCGAATTGGCGAGGTGACAGGGCGCCTCATCCTCGGCACAGTCGAGCCGCAGGACAGGGATTGAGCCAGCGGTGGTTGGGTCGAGTGAAATCGGCAGAGCCAGGCAGTCGTGACCGCCGGGGCTCCTGGACTGACGAGTCTGGGGGACGTAGGTTGGCCGAGTGACGCGATGGCGACTCGTTGCGTCATCCGAAGTGTCGACAAGGCCTCGTGTCAGCGTCTTACAAGGATCAGTCATCGGAGAATGACACATTTCTGGCCATGGAAACGCAGTTAATCCGGCAACCGTAAGCTCGGCGGTTGGCTTGTCGGCTTGATCAAGAGCTGGAGGAAGGAGGTCTATGTCTGTTGCGTTGATCTCACTCGGAACACGCATTAGAGAAAACCAAGGAATCAATGTCTGACCGGCTTGTCTGTAGGGAAGCGAGGACTGGAAAGAGATACATATTGAAAAGCAAAAAGTGAATGTGAAGAAATGTTGGGTTTTGATGAGTTTTGGTTTCATAAGGGCTGAGCTAACTTCCATTTTGAATGAAAGATGAGAATAAGATAAGATGAGATGAAATGAAATGAGACGAGATGAAATGAGATGAGATTAGATGAGAT